ACTGCTACTGCTACTGCTACTGCTACTGCTACTGCTACTGCTACTGCTACTGCTACTCCTAATGCTACTGCTACTGCTACTGCTACTGCTACTACTGCCACCACAACTATGGCTACTACGACTACGACGAAGACCGCTGCCACTACCGCGACGACCACGACTAGGACTACGCATACCACGACGACTACCACAACCACTGCGACTATGACGACGACTACGCTAATACGACTACGACGACGACGACGACTGCTCCGACGATTACGACGACTACTCTCCTGTCCGTATGTGTGTACTTCGTTTCAAGGTCTGACTTTACCGGTCGAATACGGTACGTATGCATGGCAAAGGGAGATACATGCGTAAACCCCAAGAGAAAATGTACCTGTTTACGTCTCCCTCGTTTGGGTGAGGGGGAGAACTATGTAAGAATGCATGCATAAGTGCCTTACTTTGTACAAAGAGGGTGTGGTGACCGTGTAGTATAGGCCTCTATGCCTGAATGCACGAAGCTCGTCCCTCACAGGAGTATAGCATGCAAACCTGTTGCCCGTGTGCAATATGCAGCTCTTCTTCGACGAAGCGCCCGCGTGCGCGATGTAAGTACAACGACAAGAGAAAACGCCATCCTAACCGAGGGTTGCCCTGCAAACCTGCTCGCGCTCGATCCGCATCTCGCCCAGCTGTGCTGCCAGGCGGGCCTGGACCGGAGAACACCGCGCGCAGGCACATGTGCAGGCTACCGCATCGCCTGGCGTGCCGAAGGCAACGCAGTGTCTGAGGAAGCCTAGGACAGCACAGTTACCACCGCGGGGGAAAGGCCCTCCTTGCTTCGGCACTTGGAGCAGCACGTCTAGCTCGGAGCGGACACTCCGTTGCAGTGCACGAAGCTCGTGGCCGAAGGCCTCAATCATCACTTGGGGTCGTTCGCTTCTTTAGCACAGATCTCTGGGACTGGGGTACGCACGACTTTGTCGCTCTCTGCGGTCTCTAAGAGCTTGGCAGTCTCCGCCTGCTTACAATCCCACACTGTGCGACGACAGCGCTTATGATGCCCTTGGCTCTCCTGTCTTGGGTGGGGTTGCAAAGCACAGTTCAGCCTCCATCTGCGCCTGTGCTTCTTCTGCCTCCAGGCGACTGGTACCAAGTCAAATGGCTGCTGCTTGAGCTTCTCACTTGCATGTGCGACCAAGGAAGCTGGCCTCGGTCAAGCGTGCCTGCAGGTGGACCTTCGGCTCCCGCACGTTCGATCAATCAGCATGTCCCTCTAAGCTCGAGCTAGAGGTGAGCTTGGGAGCATCAGCTGAAACTCAAGCTTCCACAAATGCTGCCAGCCAGTCCCACCTCCTTGGGAGAAAGTGGTCGGCTGCCATCCTCCTCTGCGGCCTGTGTGGGAACTGATTGTTGATAAATTGGCTCGGTTGTGCATGCTGCACACAACTCAGGTTGGTTGATACATAGACAAGCCAAAGGTTGCAGAGCCGACGAAGCCCCACCAAAAGAAGGAGTCTGTAGGCCAGAGAGCACAAGCAACTTTCAATCGACACTGTACACCACTCGCATATGCATGCCCGGTGCAGCAGAGGCATTCGTCTTTGTACAGCGGCGGACACGAGCTCTGTTGGATTCCATACAAAAACAAGAAGCCTCCGCAAGCCACTTCGCATCTGTTCAAGGCCGTCTTCTTGAGGTTTCCTGAAACCCTGGCTGCAACACGAATTCCCTTCACTGTACAAGAATCGATTCTCTTGTTTACAGGGACTGCCATCCACCAGCAGAGTCGCCAATCACGAACCCTGACCCACACGACCTGGCAAATGCGCACACATCTGACACATGTCTGGGATTTGAAGGCCAGACACGTGTCTGTCATCCGTTGCAGGCCTGCGCGTCACGCGCTGACAAAGTGGGGCTTGTCCTTCGGACAGGGGCCCTTTCTTGAATATCTTGAGGGCTCAAAGCTCTTTGGTCGGCAGTTGGCAGAGAAGCTAGGCTGCAGAGAACATCTAAGCGTTTCCCATTATCCACTCGTCCTTGTTACTATCCGTGGACGGACCCAAGCGGCGAGAGCCCTTCTGAAGAACACCTCTCACGCAGCTTCTCACATTCTTCAGCGGAACAGACTCTTTACAAGGGGCACACTGTCAACACTCGGGGCTCCAGCGACACAAAAACTGCAGCATAGCTGCGAACTTAAGCTGTATCACGCACTCCGCAATCACATTCACCATCACAGCAGTGGCGACCATCCCGCGTTATCACACAGCAGACAAGCAGCACTGAATGCACCCGTACTTCTTCTCACAGACGAGCAAGCATGACCTTTGTCATAGCAACACACATGTGACATGACGCGACAACTCTGTACGCAACGGCACAACTCACTATATAGTGGGATTCACAACTGATTGCTGAGGATGCAACTCGGGTGCGAAAACTTTGGGACCGCCGTTGAGCCACTTTGTGAAAGCATTCCTGAGACTCTAACGTACTGTAAGTATCAAATAATCGGCCACGCTCGTGTCGTTTGCTCGTGTTCCAGGTCATGCGTGCCTGGTTCTACAGGATGCTGGAAGCATGGAAGGCGGTCTGTTTATACATATATATATATATATACATACTGTCGTTGCCAACTCTACATCATTCCAACCTTTCAAGACAAGGTGCCGGAACTTGATTCCTTCCTCACTTCGAGGCATGAAACAAGTGACATCTCTCGCACTTCCTCAAGGCTTTGCACTTTGCTTCGCGATCTCTACACAGGGGAACAGACAGGTCGGGCTGCAGGTCAAATCACGGCAAAGCAACGCCATCTGGTGTTCTGATGCCAGCCGGGACAATGATATCGTAGTCCCGAAAGTAGCAGTAGACCCCGACACCTGCGGCTTGACGGCAGACCCCAGTCAGAGACGTGTCCCCTCCCCTGACCCGGCTTGGGACGAAACAGAACGGAGCACGAATCTCAATGAAGTTCTACTCCGAATCTCATTCGGGCACCATGTGCGGTGTGGCGCTGCACAGAATCCGCCACGCGATACCTTCAGGGGATCTAGTGTGAATTGACTCGCACGAGCGAGCGCGTCCACAATTATGAAAACTCTGCACTGTCCATGACCCCTTGTTCTTCATCGTTCGTGCTTCAATTGCGTCATTTGTTTGCTATATGCAGGTAAACTAAGAAAAACACGCACGGAGATAAGTAAATCACTTGCGGGATACCCAGAACCAGAGAACGGCGTCGTCGAGACCTTTCTGGCAGCATCAGCCTCGAAGCAAGGGTCCAAGGAACGAAGCTGAAGAAAGCCCATTTGTAAATTGAATGAAAGCATTTGACAAAAGAGACACCGTTGATTTCAAGCCAACCCTCTTAGCTTTGGACATCCATGGCATCATATGGCAGCTCCGATTGATAGAAGAAGGTGGTCCCATCCTCTCCTGCCAGCATGCACGCAGCTGTCTTCGCATCTGAAGTCTTGGCCAGCAAACAAAACGGACACTCTACGGGCTCTGGCTTGCAAGGCTCACAGACGGTCCATCGTCATAAGAAGAACGACTTCTAGATTCTAGATCCGTAAACGGAATCGTCACAAACAAGGCGCGTCGTCTTGCTCTGCGCGAGGCCCCCTTGTCGTTGCATGGCTGTGATAACTGAAGGGGCTAGTTCAGATCTCAAAACACGCACCTTCTGTTTCTATCCGGCTTTGCCTTGCTACTTCAGGGGCTCCCTGGCTGTGTGATGCAAGCGGACATGCATGAACAGTTCCGTGGTCAGTCCTTCCCAATACGTCATGTCACCCAAGGTGTGCTCTACGAAAAGCCCGTACATCGTAACCTGAGAAAGAGGGAGAGACTCGAAGCTGCATCAATAAGTCCAATGTGAGGACATTCAGGGCCCCACATATCTTGCATCGGGCCCAACATGCAGTCCCGTCTCGCACCGGTTCTCCTTGGAAGATATTCCAAATCAAACTCAGCAAGAGAATAATGACATGTACCGTGCTCTCCGAGGTGCATGGTTGTAGACCAGGTACCGATCGCTCAGCCAATGGTCTGCACGCCAGAGCCACAAGTTGTCCTGAGCCCACGTGCCGGTCAATCATCACAATGACCCTGTCGCTCCCATCATCTCTGCCAAGACGCGCCCACCACGCAGGGCGATTGAATCTGAACCATGGTGCCTTCAGAAAGCTTTCATGCTGATAGTCTTCTAGTCGCCATGTTTCGGCTAGAACAATTGACAAGGCAGTCCAGTCCATGTCCATGCATCCACGAATCAATATCAAGGTGCTTGAGGCAAAACAGCCACAACTGCATACGGGCCACTGCAGCGAGCTTCAGACTGGAAGAGGGCGCGGCTGCTGTCCGGTCGCATCGTTGGTTTCCTCGGTGGTTTTGCATTGACGACAGTTTGCGTGCAGGGGCGTAGAGCTGACGAACTGAATCTTTTGTACTTCCATTGTCCGTAAGCTGTGTTTACCTCAGCCTCGCAGCAACTCTTACGCTGATGTGCCTGGTGGGATCAAGTTCATCACGAACAGTGAATGGTGCCTGGCGCAGAATACAACACAGGAGGTCAAGTTTACTGGTCCTGCATGTACTCCAATTGCAGTTCTTCGCACTGCCGGCCTCCTGGCCACCGACACGAGCGAAGCAGTCGTGCAGAAATCCCCAGGATGCAGGCACCATCGGATCGCCTGTCGTGAGCCCAATTAGCCAGACAAATCCCTCGGCGACCACTAAAACCAAATCAGTTTCAGATAAGCTGACTCTAAAATACGTGCACATGTACCGGCCAGTCTGTCTGTCTGCCTGCCCGTCTGTGTGTGCCTGTCTGTCTATCTGTCTTTCTCTCTATCTTTCTATCGAACTATCAACCTACCAATCCAGCTATCAACCTAGCTATAAACCAAGCAATCAATCAATCAACCAACCAGCCAACCAACCAATCAATCAACCAACCAACCAACCACCCACCCACCCAGCCAGCCAACCAACTAACCAAGCTTGCAACTAAGCAAGGAAGCAGGCAAGCAAGCAAGCAAGCAATAAAATCAATCGACCAAACTAAACCTAACCTAATCTAATCTAGTCTGTCTATCGCCGCCCTGGGCGAGCTGCGGGCGCGTGCCAGTCAAGGGCTTGCCTACACTCTCCCTACAGCCACTCCCCTTCTTTATATAGCACAAGGTCCACACGGGCGTCTGGGCTCTTGTCAGCCTCCATTTCCCAAGCGCGCACCAAGTTCTTGTAATTGCTAGATAGTGCTAGGGTGATACCGGTACGTTTCTTCAACAAGTACTCCATCTTTAGCTCCTGAAAAATTAGCAGCACCGAAACTACCTTCCCCTTACCCCTCTCCCCTGTCCGCAAGGTCAGAGCTGTGCGTCCTACCTCTCCCATGTGGGTGTATAACATGTTGCCCCCTTCTCCCGAAACAAAGAAAACCCTCCTACCAAAATCCTTCAGCCTCTATCCAGAAACCCTAAAAAAACTGGCTGTTGCTGTTGAAGGGGCGCTGCAGCAGCCTCCGGTCCCGCAACATGACGCGGAAGGACCCCAGACATGGGCAACACATCCTGAAGGATCCAACACATCCTTCAGGATCCGTCAGCCCTGCCCAACCTCAAGGACCCGGGCCTGAAGGATCTCCAAAAATCCTTCAATCATGTGCCTTGAAGGACCCTTCAGCCCAACCCACGGAGCTTGAAGGAGCCACTTATGGGGCCTCAAGAATTTCCACAAATCCTGCAGCCCCAATCGAGGGGCCTTCAGCCCCATCCAGGACCCTCCAAAATCCACCCAATGGGTCTGAAGGATTTCATCCTTCTCGATGGGCCTTGAAGAATCCATCAGCCCCGATCAAGGACACTGAAGGACCCACCCAACGGGCCTCGAGGGAAAAAACAGATCTTCAGCCCCAATGGATGAACAGTGGGCCTGTAGGATTTCAAACGACTCATTCTTCAGGGCTAATTTGGAGTCGATGGGCCCGAAGGTCCCCCCCATCACGATACCACCCTCTCGATTCAGTCCTGGGCCCTGTCCACGCCCTGTCCATTTCTCTCCAGTTTCACCCGCCGTGCCCCCCCCCCCTCGCCAAGGCCCCTGCAGACTGACAGGCGAGCTCTCTCGCTGCATCCGGAAGTATCGATGCATGCATTTTGTGTGTATGTATTTGGGTGAACAGACACCTGGACGGATGGATGCATGCATGCATGGATGCCTACCATGTATGCCGAGTCGCTTCGCACATCCCTGCCGCAGCCCCACTGAAGCAGTGCCTCCCGCACTGCCACAAAGGATGACATGGTACTTACCACTGATGTTTACCTCCGAGCATGCCTCTTCCTAGGAACAACTCAGCCATCAATTCCGTCCGCCTGCCTTCGGTACTGTTGAGATGCTTTCAGTTGACGTTGCTTCCAACGGACGGTAAGGAGCCTCAAGGCATGCGAGGCACTGTTCGTGCTGCTTTCGGCTGCTTTGGGGGATGTTCAGCCGCAGGTCGTGATGTGAAGTCTTAGGCTTTGTCACAAAGATGCTGTAGACTGCACAGCACTGCAGCGAAGTTGAGTGCCCAGCACTTCGGGCAAACTTGAAGGAAGGCACTATCTCCGGCCTCCAGCATCATTCCCGAGATGCGCACACCCACTGCGTCATCCTTCACCTGGGCGATGCATGCAGAGTCATCAAGACCGGATGATGATGCGCATGAGTCATGAGAGACGAGCAGATTTCGCCACGCCACGACGATGCAAGGTGAATCTGTCGGAGCCACAAGGGTCGCAAAGCCCAGAGCCAGCAGCACCTTTCAAGGGGATCAGCGCACATCCGCGCAGACGGCTTTGGTACAAAGACAATGTCAAAGATGCTGCAGACCGATGCAAACTGCCTGGCAACTCCTTTGTACATGTATCGTCTCGTCGAGCTTGTAGATGCCAGGAGCAAAGACCTTTTCGAAGGTGCTACTGCCAGTCTCGATTGATGCAAGTTGAAACTGGAGGCTTTGCGTCTCATGGAAACTGGGACTATGGGTCATCTTGGTTTCTCGTGCTGTCAGGCAGCAACATCCTTCCCCTCCGCCAATTTCTTGTTGATTTCGGCAGCACCGTTCCTCGCACGCAGAAGTCTTGCCAAAACCGGCGATCGACACTGAGGATGAACTACAACGACATGAACAGTCTTGTTCACTGTATAAACCCCACAGCAGCAGCAAGCTTCGACGGCTGGGCCACATAGACTGCGCTGAAGTCTCGCATTTCCTCCTCTGCAAGACACACCATCCGCTAACGGCGCAACCTCAACATGTCGGATTACCAGCTCTTGCACGGTTTCTTACCCGTTAGCCTGATGCAGGCCCAGAGGTGGGGAGGTGCTTCCACGACAAGGATGTTGCGTTGGCCGGGCCTCCACAACCTCGAAGTTTGTGCCGCTCCGACCAGTCATGGCAGAGGGAACCACCAGCTTGTAGCGACCGTCGGTCCTACAGTGAAGTGTCGCCGATTCGATGCTATAAATAACATCCAAACACAAGGACGTGCAACAGCTGCCACACTCTGAGCTGGACTTCCATCAAGACTCTCCCTGATGATGAAGGGCTTCTCTGCAATCACCTCCATGTGCCACGCCCATCATGTCTGAACTGCTGACGTTCACTACGACGGCTCACATGACTTTAAGACTCTGAACCTTCAAATTTCCGTCTCAAAGGAATAAGTATACACACAACTAACTAGCTGTAATCACATCGCGCATGTCTGGCAAAAGCCAGTATTTGGTCATGAAATTCAGGCACAAGAACACTGCGCCTGCGAGGTGGCAATGCTGGTGTAGACGGGGCCTTTCGATGCGGCCTGGATAGCATGTACTGACTGAGTATGTTGGGCTGCCCAGCGACAAAAAGGAAACTACGCACCTCCGCTTGTTCACGATGGGGAGCACCAGAGCACCCAACGAAGACACAGCTCCAAGCTCCTGCAACGGCATCAAGGGAAGCAAACACGGCCATCCTTGTCCTCTGAGGATACGCACCTCCATCCCAGGATTTGGCAGAGCAGTTTCGCGCAAAGAACTGCTGCTGGGAGCCAAAGCTCACCGTCCCCCTAACCTCCACGTTGGCCATGAAACCGCCGCCTTTCATTGTAGTTGGAGTGTCCAACGGACACTGGAAGAAATCAGACAAAAACAGCCCCACCAACTCAGGGTTCGGCTGGCGAAGTCTGCAACTGGATCCCGATACCCGAGCTTCACCCATCCATCCTGGGCTAACCGTGACTCACAGTCGAGCTTGACCAAGCCCGAGCCAGGCCGAGTATCGTACTCAAGGCAGGCTCCTTGCTTCGGATAGCGGGGATCCTCGACAAGGGGTGCGCCATGCTGCAGAATTCTGGAAGGTGCTGAAAAAAAAAAGTTGCAGAAGGCTGAGCATTTCTGAAAGCAGGGCACACGCTCACAATGCTCACGCCAATTCAAGCAAGCAGTACAGTTTATAGTCATATGCCAAGGATCACTCGCCTTCACGCCCTCAGGAGGGAGGCGAAAGTACCTAAGATCCAGCAACAAGAGGGCATTGCCGTAGCTTCGCATCAAGGTGGCAGGCTGTTGCGAGGCTTAGGTACGAAAGGCAAAGGTTGTCGTCAACGACGGCACGCCGCAGAGGTGCAGCCTGCGAGACGGCCCAGAGCATGCCACCACGGCCGCCGCAAGTGTAGGTCGGATGGCAGTTGCTCTGAAAGTTTTCGGCACTCCTCAGATCCCTCTAAGAGGCAGACAGCAACTACGAGTAGACACGGCGGAGGGTTTCTCTTCAACTTTCACCAGGTTCGGCTTGGCTCGGTTTGGGTGGGCTCAAGTCAAGTGGCCATTGAGCGTACCTAGACTGGCTTTTGGTCGATTCAGACTTGGACGTTGTCTCCCAACCGCCCCGAGACACGTCTTCGCTTCCGCCATGTTCCGAGGGCCGCAGAATCAGCCAAGCCAAACTCAAGCCGAGCCCAGAAAGCCAAGCCAGCCCAGCCGCCTAGCCTTGGTACAGAAAAAGAGATGAATGGAAAAAACTTTGGGCCGAGTAGACGAGGCCATGTGCCGACGGGCCAGCTGTGGAGCCGAGGCTCCGCCAGAAGTTCTGCAAGGACCTGAAGCAGATGGAAGGCACTTGAAGCATTTAGAGCTCGATCAAAAAGGATTGGGCTCGTACTCGGTTTAAACCGCTGAGGCAGGGGCCCGAGCTCCGGATGAGGCGTCTCGTTGGTGGACGTGACAGAGCGGATCTTCGTATCCGAGGGTTTTCTCCCCAAGCCGTAGACGGATGTGTAAAACCCAACTCGGACATCCACGTCGTGCATTTTGGGCGATGCCTCAAAGAGCAAGGCGTACCTGCTGCTGGAGAACTGGCTGTCCAGCGGAGCCATTTCCTGGTAGATCTGATCCACCACATCATAGCATGAAGCGGTGCTGAGAACCTTTACGGAACTTGGCCAGCTCGGAGGGTTTACCTCGGGACTGCCTTGCAGCTCCCCCTGGCCACAGGCATACCCCAACCTTGGGGGTCTTGTCCCAGAAGCTGTCTGCAGAGCCCCTGCTTCCTGCGCAGGCTCCTGAGTCAAGATGAAAAGCTGCGGAAACTCCTGCATCACTTTCTTCTGCGCGTCGACCTCGCTCATGCCGTGGTTCTGTGCCAGCCATCGGGCTCGATCCTTCGGGATGTGGCAACGCTCCAACTGTCAACGCCAGTGGTACTTCTGCATGCAGACTACCACTGGCCTCGGCGCGCACACCGGCACAACTCTCGTCAGGGTTCCACCGTCGGCCAGCTCCAAAGCTCGCCGGAAACTCCTCAAGCGCTTAGATGCAAAATAAATGCTTAAAATGTGCCATCCCACATCCAACAACAGCCACAAATTGTGTGCCAAGTCCGGCCCGAGGTGCGCTCATGACGTGTGCCTGTGCGGCCTCGAAGCGATGTGCGCAGAAGTAAAGGCAGAAAAGCCACAACGGACAACCCAAAAATTTCGTGCCAAAGAGGCTTCTGCATTCAGCCCACGGTTCTCCACGAGCCACTGCATACGGGCGGAGGCCTTTGGCTGCAACAGTCAATTTTTCCCACAATCCAGGTCGTCAACAAATCAACCTGATTTCGCTAATCTCCGAAGTGTGAGCATGCCAGTGTCTTCTGTGCGGCGAAGCTGCCAGCACGCCATCACAAAGCACGTCCGGCTTCCAAACAGCCATTGCGTGTCTTGGGTTCGAGAGAGAGAGCTTCGTTCGGAACAAGCCCGAATGCTAAGCCTGGTACACTACTGTTTACTTCCGAGCTCAAACGAGCATGCCACATCACGTCACACAACATTGAATCACTGAACACGCATGTCCTCCGCTGGAGCAGAAATGCTACGGTATGCTTGCTCTTCGCAAAGCCGAAGCCCATAGCGGATTGTGGTGGTTCTGATGCCAACAAATCCAGCAACTTGACAACGACTGCCGAGTGCACGTAGGACGTAGGTGTCCAACCGCTGACGTCAAGTGGCTTGTCTTGGATCCTGACAGCACATGGACTCAGCCCAGCGACGCGAAGCATCGCTGTCGTTGCGTATGAAGTGCTCTAGCAAGCACCCTCTCGGCTCTGAGATCCCAGGCCTCCTTCCGCCCAGGAGAGCAGAGCAGTGGCCAAACCTCTCAGAAACCGCTCCAAACTTTCGCAGCTCTTCGACGGAGGCAGCAACGCACCAATCGCGGACAAGTCTAACGCAGCCCGTGTGTTGCCTTCCATGGTGGGAAGCTTGGACACCTGCCAAAGGCACCAGTTGTCAGGTCGAACGTGGCTTTTGGCCACGGTAACGAAGTCATGAAGGTGGTCCCTCCATGGGTGGCAACCGGCCCACCTCGGGCATGTTGAGGATCGCACCTCGCGACGTGAGAGTGTCTCGATGACGTCAAGTTTCCCACTACAGTGCTCGACAGGGCTACGGCACCTTCACCACCCAGCTCGTGAAGCTGATTCTGCTTTCGAGCTGCCTCCGATCACAAACTCGGATGTCTAAACAGGACGAACTTGAGGCGGCTCATGGAAGGCTAACCGACTTCTCTGCCACTCTGTTGTAAATCAGCTCCGTGCCACACACCAACTCGACGAGAGGCAAACAAAGCGTCAACTGCCGCAGCTTGTGTCACTTCATGACAGCACCTCTTGCAGAAGATTCCGAAGCTGGCTGTCAGCTGCCTTTCGAGGCATTAGGCACACACACACAGACAGAGACCCGCAGCAGGCACTTTGCGTCATCCCGATCATCCGGCCTCCTGCTCTCTCCTAAGCATCTGCAGAAGTGCCTGGTTGGCCACATAAACAAGATGGCTCCTGGGTGGACGTTCTGTCACGGGCCTGGTACTGCTGCGAAGCAGTCTGTGTGTTGCAGTCTGCCTGCTCATCAGTTTCGCATCAAGGTGCAGCTATGCAAAGAGTGGCTGTATGCACCGCTTCATCTCCATGCATGGAGCTTCTGAAGGGCCCACTCATGTAATAGCCCCAAGAAAGGACATGCACAATGACACAGTGTTCAGGACTTCCAAAATGCGTGCAAGCAAAGCCAGATATTATGTCCCAAGACGGGGCTTCGGCGAGAAAGTCAGCGCTCAAAACTCCAACACCATATCGAGAAACATGCTTCCCATTCCATGCTTCGGGCTCTAGCTGTACACAGGTGCAAATTCTCAATTTCATGTACACATCCGTACTCCTTCCGCTGGTCACTGGATGACATGCAATCTGGTCTGTCCTCGTTGCTGTCGTCATCTTCCTTGGATGTTAGGGCTGTTAGGGATGCAGGATGATGCAGGCAGACCTTGCCCCAGTCGTTTGATCCCATTATCGAAAACTGCTGGACGGGACGGAAAAAAATCATCGAAGGAACCATCGGAGATGCGGTCTTCTTCCTGCGCTCGCCCTGCAACAACCGCAAGGGACACAAACACCCAGCCACATATCGGAAATGGCAAGCCTTTCGGTCTGCCTTTGCATGTTTATCAAATCTCGCCATACACAGAGATAACGAAACGAGTACACCGACATCGTTCTGGATGTTCGTTCATAAGACACCGAAATACACCCATTCCACCGAGCACCGGAATCGGTGGAATTCGAGGCCTAGAGTCAGCTAAGGTGTCGTGTCTTGTGGTGTGCGCCCCGGTTCACTCTCCTTTCCGACCCAAGCGCCAATCAAAAACCGCAGATTCCCTGGCCCCTTGCAAGCAGAGACTGAATCAGGAGTATAAATCATAAAATTTACATGTTGCTGAAAGAGCAAGGCAAATCCAAGCTCCAGCATTCTGGCCTGCTCGGGGGCGACCCTGGACTGCCGTTCACTGGGCTCGCCTCTCAGCAAGGCTCTTCCGCGAGCGCGTGTACAATGAAACAATGGCAAGCAGTCTTGACAAAGAAACTCATGCCGCGCTGAGTCATCCGTGCCATGCGTTAGTCTTGCCACGACAAGACTCGCGAGCCTTCGTCTTCGGTCTTGGAACCACCCCACGACTCCTCATCCTGCGTACGAAGTGCGCACGAAGCACGTTTCTGCCAAGCTCGCAGCCGAATACCGGCATACCAGTATGTACTGGGAGCTGTTGGTTGAGATGGTTGGTTTGTCCGGCGGTTGCAACAACAGCGAGCGAAATACTGCCGCAAAACATGCTTCAGAGTAGCGCGATATGACATCCTGCTCAGTAGGCTGGTCCTCTCCATCACGGTGTCTGCCTGCTCGCCCTTGGGCAATCCGACGCAATTTTCGGAACGGTTCAACCCCGCTACTGCAGCTGAACAGCCCGACAGAACCATGGCATGCAAAGCTTAACCTAATTAAGTGCAACTGCTTTACCTGATGTAGCAGGGTCAGTCGCAGTCTATCGTAGCGATGATCAGCCACGTTGGCATGTCTTCCTGTTTTGAAACAACTACCTGCAGGTTGATTGCAGCGCAGGAGTTAGCCATGCAAGATCGTGAATGTTGTTACAGTTCCAAGAAGAGAGACACCCTTGCGCTGTGATCTTTTTGACACCAGTTTCGGGCAAGGACATGTCAAGACAGCATGGTGATTTTTTGAGGAAAGTTTTAAAGCCCACGATAACTGCGCTCATGACCAAATGTAAAACGGCCTTCTGGCCCACATGACAGCTTTGAGCCATATCACGTCCGGATCAAGGCTTAGCCATGCCACAACACAGCTCGATGGCGGGTTTTGCCTCTCTGGCTTGTCGTTTGGCGCATACGGTTTCGGGCCTGGCTTGGCTGCTATGCGAAATGACAGATCTGATTGCAACATTCATGTCGATAATATTCAAGTGCATACGTTACTAGTGTTGCACCATATAGATCGAACTCTCCACCGCCGAAACATGGTGTCGTCAGCAGCAGCAACAGCAAAAGGCAGCGGCAGCTTGGTCAATGCAACGCACGGGACTGACCCAACGAGCGATGGAAATCGATGACAAAACGTTCCAGATCATACACCCTAACCAGCTATGCTAGTTACATGTACGGGTGCTTTGTTTACGTCGCCCCAGCTTGCGTAAAGTCGCCCCAAGCCCGGCACACGGCACGGGAGTGAAGTCACCCCAGGCGGGGTGATTTCAGCCCAACAACAGTTGGATTTTAGCCGTTCCGCAAGGGCACACGCATTTTTGGAGCATTCGCGGCTTGAACTTAAAATGCTGCGCACGGTGGGTTGAGCAGCCTCATTAATGGCAAGAATACATACAAATCGTTGCGAAAACGCAGTGTCGATGCTGATTCTACTCTCCAAGTCGCTCCCGCTCAATTGTCAGGATGCGGCGCGGACGCGACGCTAATCTGTGGGCGATGCCCGCGCGAACTTGCGCGAGCACTGCGCGACCTCCTGATACCCGGCACACTTCTCGGCAGGCGACAAAACCAGCCAAACCGGATGTAGACACTCGATTTCAAAAGCTCAGTGGCAAGACAATGTGAATTTGTGCGCACATGGTGCAGAAGCGGAGGTAGGTGTGCGTCTCCAGCCAAACAAGGTGACCGAGACTGTTTCGGATAGCAAGAAATTATAAACAGGAGGACCAGCGCCGCGCCTCGAAAACGATTGGATCCGTGTGCCCAACAGGTGGGAGTTAGGATTAGGGGGACCCTTGGGGAGAAAGACCCTCTCAATAAGGTCCCCTTTAAGAGAGCCACAAGTAGGGTTCAGAAGGGTCCCCTTTAAGGGGCCCCCCTAATACTACCTAGGAACAGGCTTTGGGGATTGCGCACTTCGCAAATATGATGCTTGGATTTCTGTTCGGTCGTTGGGCTTGCATAAATTCGGCTCCATGGACCAAAATAGCAATATCCAAGTAGACACCCCATTCCACAAACCATTCCACTTGTAGACGCTCAATTACGCAAGCACCAGCTCGAGACACAAGTGACATCATAACATATCCAAGCTCAGAGAAGGTTCGCGCACAGTACTGGATCCAAACTAGACACTCGATGGGAAACAACATATGATAGAGGTATTGAAAACTAGCCCAAACCTCAGCATCGTCTCTCCCTGCTCTGAGCCGTTCTTCGGCGACACGCCTTCTCTTGGCTGTCATGGAACTTTGGTTACCGTGGTTTTTCTAGATGTTTTCTAGGTTCAGTGCATCCTGCTTGCCCTGAGCTGCCCTCCATTAAGCAAGGAGTGCAGATGCCTGCAAGCACGAGTCTTGGGGACCTTGCTTTCAATCGTATCAACTACTTCTTTCCATAAATGACATTGATTGCATCAACTTCAGCAGCAAATCTGTAGTTTTGGTCAACCTCGCCCGCACTGAAAGGCCCGGTCAGACCAATCAGGCGAGACAGATTGCATGCATCGTTCTAGGAACATGCTTGAACTACAGCACCGCTCGAATTGATCCGTCACTGGGTCAACGAGCCAACGGCTTCTGCTGGAGCCAACATTTACGTGGACCGTCTCGGTGTTCAAGAAGGCTCTTGCTCTGACAGCTTTCAACTTCTGTTCGCCACTGGCGCACACAAAAGTTGAAGCCGGCCGAGCAGAATGTATTCCTCACTTCACGGAAGGCCTTGTTTACAAGAAGTTGTACAGCTGCACCTGAGCGAAGAAGATGTTAGCGGTTTGTGCTGAGCATGTTGGGCCCTTTCAGCTGCCTGCGCCGGCTACAAGGTCGACACTGAAGAAGGCCAAGCAAGTCGCTAAGAACACCAAAAGGTCACACTGACCTCCATCCTTTCATTTCTCGCCATGTCTCGCAAACAACCTACAGTAGCGGAAGCCTCGAGACTAGGTCGTGAAGTATTTTAATTTCCGGGGCTCGCATCTTGGCGAAATCATGAACTAGCAGTACCTAGCATCTAAATGTCCGTTCCGCCTTCAATTTGACAAAAAAACCCTTCATGACACAGCAGCCTCCAAGGCAACTTGAATTTCAGCACTCCATACCGAAGGATCAATTCCAATGGGCAGCTCAAGGTGGGGCAGGCCGCAAGTTCACCAAATACGTCAACACAATTCAAAACTCAAAATGGCACAATTTGAGCACACTGTGCCTCGCAGGCGACCCTTGACAAAACAAAGCCGACAGACGGAGTATTGACGAGTTCAACAAACTGCACTCCGAACACCTAACTACTAACCCTAAAATACACTGAAGCCAAAATTGGACAGCTTGTTCGTCTGGGGGAATCCTTGCTTGAGCCGTCCACCCTTCTTCGACTCTTCGAGCATCCTGCCGCCAAGTGTGAACCGTGCCCAAGAAGGAAACGCAAGCACTTGGCATGGGTGCTACTTGTAGTGAGACTGGTAGTGAAAACGGCAAGATCTTGTTGCACAGCGAATGTCTATGCATACCGCCCAAGTAGACCTGCCGAGCCTTCGTCACAAAGGGTGCTCTGCTCCAGAAAGAACTGCCACGGAGGCAATGCCTTACCGCGTGTTGCAGTTTCTGGCCAGGAGTCAGGACCGAGGAGCTTCAGCGCTGCGTGGCACTCTCGGGATGGACAGACGAGCACTCAAGGTTGGCCTAACTTCCGAAGATCGACCCCACGTCAGGATGCTGTCTGCAACCCTCGCGGCACTCCGGTGGGCATTGGGTTGAATCCGAAGGTCCCAGGCCGCATCTGCTGATGTGAGAGGCGGGAGAGGGGCGGAGTAAACACTGCACACACGTGCATGGCTCCATCGAGCCTGGCCGCGACCGTGGCTTTTGGCAAATCGCTACCGTGCGTTCTACTTCTTTTGTAGCTACCAGGGGCCCGGGAGCGAGCATCACACCCTTTATGCGAGACACACAGAAGACAGCGAGGGAGATAGGATAGGACGGCGAGGGGGCAAAGACGGTGATGCGCGTGTGCGGTCTGCTGATGCGTCTGCTGTAAGGTCCTGTAAGGTTAGCACGAGGCCCACCACCTCTTCTAGCATTCCAGCCTGTGCCATACAGCTTCCACTCACTGCGGAAACCCGTAGCACACAATGCTCCTGAAGCAACGCATTTGATTTTGTAGGGCACAGAGCCTGCCTGGATGACTGGGGAGGTCTTCGCGGGCCTCGGTGGACTGAACGGGTACACACTTCCGTCCGGAATCCGGTAATGCACCGGCCTCTCACCCAGATGACTTTCATGATGTCCGTTTAAGCCTGAAAAGCAACAGCATTTCTGCACATGACATGTATAAAGGGCTTAGGGCTTAGGAGCTGGTGCCAACACAATGCGTCCATCTACTCTGGATCTGCTGCGCCTGTCCCAGAGAACTGCTCGAGCACAAGCCTATGTTCTGGCCTGGTCATCACCGGTAACCACCACGACACGGTGACAGCAATTCTGATCAGCGAGCGACTCACTACTACATGTCCTGCTCAGGTTGAATCGAAGCGGTCAGCTCTCGTACAGCAGCTCTCTCGCACCTCTCGCGCCTCTGCACTCGAAACGATGGAAAGCTTTGCTGCATCTGGTAAGGACCGAACAGTGTGAAGCTCGAAGCTGAGGTTCCCTTGACAATGGGTGCTTTGATGCGGATTGATCTAATCTAACTGCTCCAACAGGCCCGGCTTGACAAGACTGAAATGAGTCGTCTCTTGAGGACACGACAGCCAGTGATTCTGAAGGCCACCGGCAAGTTCCCTGCCGGTGGCATTGTCGGCAGCTATGCTTTCTCACTGTTCTCACTCTTGCACACAAAAAGCAGAACACTCATTGACAGAAAGATCAATTTGCTGCGCAAGGCGAGGCATTAGGCTCGGAGGCAATGCACCTCGGCAACGAAGCCCGTTGCCTTGTAGGCTCCGTAAGCCATAGCTCCTGCAACACACACTCAAAAGGGTCAAGGGATGCAACAGTCAGGAGACATCTCAGGGCCCAGGTGCTTCACAGCTCAAGCAAGAGTCCTTTCACAAGAGCTCGTGTCAGCTTCTTCATGAGGCTCTCCGTTCCAAACATTTCTTTCACCTCAGCGATCTGTGGCATCCAAAGACTTTCTTGCGGGCAGCCCAGCCCAGTTCCGACATCAGCTGCAGTTCTCTTGGTTCCGAACGGTCGGAGGCCCCATAAATGGTATCATCTCCTTGAACCTGGGAATGCGGAAGAAGCACACCTAGCTCAGACGTTGCAGACCCGCTGTGCTGAAGGGCTGAAGAAGTGCCGGTCAGTCCAAGAAGCTGCTTGAACCGCATAGAAAGGTTCAGGATGATGGAGGGCACCAGCACACTCTTTCCAAGGTCGACCTTTCGCAAATCAGAGTGGTAATGTGAGCGCAGTCTCGTTTATAACGTTGCTCCGGAACTACATGATATGAGGCCAATGCAGCAGGTGCTCGACCCTAAGGAAGCCGTAAGGGACCGGACACCATGGGAGAAGTCGTACTCTTTCATGACCGTGTCATAGTCCACAGCTGCAGCGAGGGAAGGTCCCGAGCACGACTGGATTCTCGGATTTCCATCTAAAACAAGCGCGACCAGGAGGATTTGTTAAAAAAAAGGGTTTGCTGCATTTCGAGCATCAAGCAAAAGTGCATCCTCCTAATGCATCGGCCTGGAATTGGATGCAACACGCCCTGACTTTCAAGGTGTCGGAGCTTGATCAGGTGCAACTGTAGCATGCATAGCCAACTCGAGCCTAGGCATCTGTAGGAACATGGCGACACCCGACCCGCAACGTGCCTGCAGCACCGTCGATTCTGGGCTTGTTGATGCCTGACCCAGCGTCACAGGCGGTCATGAGATGCAGATGGACGAGAGACCTAGCTGACCCGTGTTCAGACGAGCTCAACACAGCACCGTAAAAGTTGGGGAGGTGTGCATGCTGCTGGGCGGTCGACGAGCCGGCACCATAGGCTGTTTGCCTTGCCACGACAACCGTGCGGAAGATTTCAGCATGGTTGCCGCTTGAGCCCGCCTGGATTCAGCGCGGCTTTGGGCAAGCCTAAAATGGGCAGCCTGCCTGAAGCCATATGACACGCAGTTCTGCGACAAACCAGGCAATTTGAGAACTCCATCACGCAGGCAGCAACACCGAGGGCGACACGACCTCCTGCCACAGAAGTCAAAAAGCTCAGCGTCTACACAAAAACTGATGTGATTGAGTCGTGCAGTGACAAATCATGATTACGTTTTCTGTTCGCATTTCTTCCAGCTCTTTTCGATAGCAAGGTGATTCCTGTCCGACGACATGCCACCGAAGTACACAGAGGAGATGTACGGCCGACTGCACTCGAGGGTCTCTTCAGATTCCCTGAAAAATCGTCAGCCCACCTGCATTGTAGAGCTGGTCGAAGTAGGGCAAGTGCGAAAACACACCTCAACCCGGTTCAGCGAGCGACGTGCCATCCGAAACACACGCAGGAAGCCAACGTCTGCTAGTACTAATCGCAGCGTTGTGGTCTTCTCACAGCAGAAGGGAAACGAGGCTACGAGGCTAAGGATGGAGCCCTTGAAACCGCGGTAAGGCAGACGGTACAGGCCATTTCGCAGACCCGGAAGGCCTGAGGCAGGAGCTGGTTGTCGCTCTTCACGCTTGATACGTAGCTGGCACTTCGTAGCAAGGGCATCGAAACCACGAGCTGACGTTGTCCCTTCGAGCTCAGGCTTGTCGTTTTTCCTAGATGACCGCTACTTCAGACAAAGCTCCTCGCGTGGCCCTTTGCCCAGCCTGAGAGTGGTGGCCACAGCCTCGCCTTGAAGATGCGGTACCTGTTGAGCAATGCAATGGCCTCGGCAATCGTCGCATACCAGATTTTTCAAGCTGGTAGTATGCTGACTTTCAGACTGTCTGAGAAACGGGCAGCAAGAATTGCCAGCGGTGCCGTCAGCGCCGCCGCTCCCATTCCTCAAACACGACAGCCGAGACCAGTGCAGCATCATTGGTTGTGCGTCGTGCTTGAACTAACTCAAGTGCACCAAGACGCCCAGCATTTTGGCAGCCGAGCCTGCTTTCACGAGGAGCATGACACATGCCGTACGGCGTCCAAAACACATATAGTATATGCTGCAAGCAGGTGATGCATCATTTTGAGACAAGGTTGCAGCTACACCGCGAAGCAAAGACGACAAAAAGAGAATAGCGCGAGGGCAATAAGCAGGCTCCAGGCGCCTAGGCTAAGCTTCGGTGGACCTCAGTAAACCGGTACACCGCCAAGAGATTCCATGCTTAAGAAGAACAGCAAATGATGCTTCAGATTGCGCCTAGAGGGAAATGCGTTCAGACTGTCTGAAGTGAGCTCCAGACTAATCCCTGGGATGTCCGGGATCTTCAGCTTCGGTATCTTTGGAAGTCCTCCAGGGCACACGAGCAGGAAGCTGGCTTCCCCAGATTACAGGACTCAGCCGTGTCTCCAGGAATGTCGGGGAAGGAGTCAGAACCTGAGACCAAAAGGATGACTCAATGCAAGCTCTGAGCTGCGTGCAGGAGTTGCTGAGTGGCCACTGATGCTGTTTGGCTGAGGTATGCCGAGGTGTTCCGAGTGCGCCGCTGGGCGGCGTGATGCTTCTCGCATCTGAACAGCGCAGAAGTTGCAATTAGAACTAAATATGCGCAACCAGGAATCTTGCATCTCGAGTGCTCGGCTCGTGCATATACTGAGGAAAACGCAATGGGTCATCTTGTTGATGATTTTCATAAGCTTCTTGACGGCAGCTGGCAGGAGTGCGCAGCCAGTGTGGCATGTAGCGTGAGAGACATTTCGTTGGTAACGTGTCGTGCCGGATAATGAACGGCCTGCTCACTATTCTACAGGGTCAGTCACACCTGAGGCTAAAACTCAGAGGAGAGCACCTCGGCTCTCGCTTTCTGATTTACACCTTTGTCGTCCGGGATAGAAGGGAAGCATCGGAATTGTGCAAGTTGTACGGATGCAAACCAGTGAGGAGCTCCGGAACCCGAAACCAAATTCCCTTTTCACCCGCATCGGATCTTTCTCGTGCCCCGGCAAAGCTCAAAGCCTACTAAACTCCTGAGACCCGGTCTGGAGTTCAAAAAGGCATGAAACATGAACGCATGCAGGGGTCCCGTCGCCCCAGGAAAAGACTGCTTGGGCGCACCCGGCCTAAACCCAGATCTTCTCTGTTCCTGCCCCTCTGTTCCAGACGTGTTCTAAGCCCACCATGTATTCCCATCCTCGTCGTCGCAGCCGGTGGTGGTGCTGGTGCTGGTGC